ATCCAAGCTGCTGAGTGACCAAACGTGCTCTTCAGAAATTTCGCCCACGCCCCATCACCTGTCCTTTCCTCTGTGACAGGTATCTCATGATACGATTGGTCGCAGATAACATATGACCAGCCACTACATTGAACAGTTGAGATACCGAACGTTCTATTCGGGAAATTTGATGACGCCCTATCACGTGACTCTTTGTTTTATGTCTATGCAAGGAATATGTAGTATACATTTTGTATATGTATGTTTGTATGGCCACGTATGTTTTCTGCATTAAATCTGTATGAAATAAAGTGCAATGCTATGAATGTGCTTTTTGCTAGTCACAGACTAGCGTTATAGTACTTTCATTAAAATAATTCGTAAACACTAGAAATGTATCGGCAAAACCGCTATTTTCGTCGAAGATTATAAAGTATGAAAGTAAATTCTTCTTTACAGTATGTCATTGTCATAGATGTTTTGTAAATTTAAACCTCACACAATGATATAAGAGAGAGAATTTGTTAACGTGTGTCTCATCTGTTACATACAAAGAATACATGTGTAGGCATATTGTGATAAAATATAAATGTACAAGCTGACAAAAGGTCTACAAGAGAAACTTGCAATAAAATTACATGAAGCTTGCAATACACGACATGTATTCACACCTGATTTCTTTCAACATATATATCTTTACGACACAATTAAACAATCAGGACTTGTTTGTACGACTAGACAGTTTCCTGTGATCCCCGAAACCTGCCAGGGAAATCAGGTGTGACTAACACTAATTAGTCTCGGCACAGAGAGTGGGCAATCAGCGAGGGCTTCCAGGTGTTGAGTAGTGATGGGGCTCTCGGGCTTAATGAGTTAATATCATTCCAATAGTTCTGTAAAACGCCTTCATTAGTTTTCAATGAAAAATGTACATCTCTCAACACTGTACTACCATTAGACTTGCAGTGCAGCGATGTCATGGCATTGTGATGTCATCAAGTTCTGACGTCATAGCATTGTCAGGGCCTTGTACAAAATATACTGTCAAAACGATATATCCTATGAGATATCATATGATCTCACACAAGCGATATCTCCCGTGGAACACAGTTTTGGATGATACAAGTAGTTCACACCTTATCATGATGTTATTTATTTATTTGTATATCTCCAAGCCCCCAAATTCAGAAAATGTGCTGGAAACGTCGTCACAATAATGTGAAGGAGAACCTAAATAGCCGCACGTGCTTATTCCAACGGTGTCAACAAACTCAGGAGGGGAGCTAACAGCATTTGAACCAAACATAATAGTGAAAGATGTAAACGTGTTAAGTAGTGAGCAGATATTGCATTTGAAAGAGTATTTTGCTTTCTTCAAAACGCAAGTTGTTTTGGTCATTGTAATTTGTTTAAAATTTTCCGGTTTAATTGTAATAGTATTCTAAACGTCTGTCGGATTTTATCTTGAATAATAGAATACAACACATATGCATTCCTAGTTTTTGAAGACAGTTCTTTGCAAAATAGTTCCTTGATCTACTGAATCCATATATTCCCTGTCAGATGTTAGTTTTTGAGGTTTAATCTTTTCTAAACACTTCAATGAGTGCCTTTTCAGATACGTAACGACAGTCATGAGAGGTGACTGCATGACAGTTTGATGCAGGGTCATGCCTGACTAGGTTAATGTACTCGTTCACAGTGGTGATGCTGTGTTTATCAAAGTCACGTATGTACATGATGTAATCGCATAGTAGTATAATGTAAGATGTAGATGTGAAACAACTTATGGATTGAAAAAAAGTATTTGTTATATTGTTTTTAGCATAAATGTGTTGGTTAACCATTTAAGAGTGTATCGAAGGACTGTGTAATAACTAGGTTATCATATATTAGACCAAAATATGTGAGAGTATGTAAATGAATACACTTAGTCAATTAACAGCACAATATAAAAAGGGGCCAGAGTTCGTTAGCGACCATAGTTGGGCCACCATACCGGGGACAGTGAAGACTTACAATCCTTCTTCGTCCTGTACGGTTCCCCAGTGGGAGTTATACCATTCCTTCAGTTGCTACCGATTGTACGGACATGTAGCCACTTTACAACTGTGCTATGATTAACAACGGGGTTAAATATACATATTGTGTAATGGCTTGGGCTCACATATCCTCATCCCCAACTAAGAAAACAACTATCAATCTTACTTCATTATCGTATTATCAATTATACAAAATAAAATACCCTGTACTTCAAAATGTATCAGTTAATTCAATCCCCTTTGAAAAGCAATATTCAATGAGAGCAGTATTATGAGAATATGAGAATGGTATCATTAACATGATCCAACATAGATGAAAATTTGAAATAATTACTTCTTTACATCTGGACTGAAAACACATGTAGTGTTACAAATAGTTGGTTTAATTACTTGTGTAATTACCAGTGTCTTTTTGATTCCTACATGTGCCTGTTTCTTTCGATTAGATATCTGATGTTACAGCAAATTACCGGTGTAATGTATAAGAAATTGTGTCGCAGACTTGGTGAGTGCTGCCATAGCAGCAGAATCGGCCATTCTTTTACCATTGTAATTACTATAATGCCAAATTTAGGATTTCGGAAGAATTTTATCAATTTGTTGTTACCGTTCGATATTCAATGTTTATATTAGTGGAAATCAAATTTAGAACGCTCTGGACTCATTCCTCTGTGGATGATATAATCGTAGTGAATATTGTCGATTTGTCCACGGTGAGCACGTCATGAAGGACAGAACGCCGATCCACACACAACAACGAGTGGCCAGTGAACGCTCGTTGCACAATAAGGATTGGGCTTTTCAGAGTTCAAGTGATGACACCCCACACATGACCGACCCACCGCCAAATCTGTCATGGGGTTTTGGTTTATCATTAGCTTGATATTCCTATCAACGTCGCCAGACACGACATCCCCATCATAAATATGCAAAATAAATCGTGACTCGTGACTCTGCAAAATTCTCACAAGACCAGCATTTCGATTTTGTGTTCGATTTCAAGGAATCACGTTATGAATATGTAGTCCTTGTCGTTTTCTTGTGGCACGTGCAGACCATAAGGCATGTTTCGGTTTAAACTTTCAGAGACGCCTGCACCTCCCAAAGCCTTTCTCTATAAATGTTATCACATTATCACCAAAGTTTTCACGGCAAGTGGATAATTAGACGTTCTGTGTTCTTGCTTTTCGAATCCTACGGGTAAACGCACATTCAGGTAGTCGAAAATGGATATTGTGCAGTACAAGATTCTGAATCGTTGGTTATAGTTCTGTTGGCTCAGAAGCGGACCGATGAATTGCAATCTAACTGGAAAACTGATAAACATATAATACTCAATGAAACGCTGATCATAATCAAAACATCAGACCAACTCTGTGAGTTTTTTGCAGAATTTATGTCATGAAAATAAAATGTTGTTTAACAAACTATCATTAAAATGTTGACACAGTTCACCATTTGTTAACATATCTTTCAACAACAACATAGAAAATTAGAAAAACAATATTCACATTTAAACATGTTTCTAATAACATCCTAAATTTGATTAAGTTTGTGTGCTATTACTGATCACTGCAAGATACAACAGCTGCCTTGGCATTTGCTTTGAATTCAGCGACGATTTACTGTCTAACCCCTTGGAGTCTATTCGATCTTGTAATAATTTAGAGAAAGCTAATATCCAGTCAATACCAATTGGCATCAACATCGTCCTCTGCACCTGGGATCAGGCTGTCATTAAATAAAAACATGGTAATAACAGAAAACGCAGTAAAAGATCACGGTTTTATTATTAGCAGCGATTTGTAACTAAAGCAAATGTACAAGTTGATGAGCGAAGAACTAAATTAATTAAAATCAGGAAAACATGAGTTGCAAACTAACGATTACAGCAATTAGTGAGAATTACAAAATAAAGGTCTGAACATGAGCTTCACAAAGGTACCAATAATCAATTTACAAATCAGATTCTAACCGTAGAATATGTGTTATTTTAATTTATGGCTAAATTGTCTAAACTTGCTGACAGCTGAAGGGATGGTGTAAATCCAGCTAGGGTCCATGCAGGAAGCAAATGTACTGTAAATCCCCGTGGTCCCTACTATGGTGATCTACCTTCAGTTGTTGGCAATCTATAGCCTGTTTTTATACTGTATTGTCATGTATAGTTAAAATGTTTAGTGTTAATTACTAGTTTTAAATTGAAATCTGTGATAAACTAGTTGTTTCACTGTCCTTCGCTGACAGGTTTTTATAATTTACCTCTATTTATTGTAAAATCATAACTTGTTTGTAGTCACGATATGGCTGAAATATTGCTGATGTGACTTAAAATCTTAACACTACAAATCAGATGTGTACAATGTGTAAAATATCTGCATAGTACTACATAACCTCTCAGCTGTGTAAAAATCAAATTTTGTAAATCATCTTCAATACATGATTAATCTTGCCTGCCCTTGTCAGATAACCAATATGATCACAATGCATAATAGAATCATGCGATTAAACATGTGAATAAAATCTATGCACAGCAAAATCTCTTTTCCCAAATGATTGTCACGATGTCGAGCTGTGCTAATTGTCGGTCAGCCATGAACATGGATGGTCCTACGACCACAGGATGATGAAGGGCCTTTTTTGTTACCCGGTGATATTCTCCAAACGTGACCCTTGCAGTTCCCCCAAAGCACCGTGTGATGTTCCAAATGTGCTCATTTACAAATATTTATCGATGATGATGTAACTTTGACAGCATGATGCTATATGGAAAAATGTATAAACATTAAAACGATTACAAAGGAATTATAACAACGTCCTAAATGTAGTTAGATCGCAAGTCTGGCAATCCTCACGAGCGAAGCTTTATGGTCCTGATCAAAATGATACAAACACCATCACAATTGATATGCAAATTCAGGGACGAATAATGGTTCAATGTCATACATTCTATTGATCTTGTTACTGCTTACAATAAGGTTAAAGGCGGTGGGTGTAAACTAATGGTTAAAGAACCCACTCGTCAAGGTGGGTCGATTCCCCACATTGGTAAAATTTTTGAAACCCATTTCTAGTGTCCCCGCAGTGATATTTCTTAGACATTGCTAAAATCAGCGTACGACTATACTAACTCACCGACTCACTACAATCAGGTTAAAATCTAATCATCAGCAACTGGCGATACATATCGTGCATCTATAGCTGTGTCTGTTTCTGTTGCTCCAGACGAAATTCCTGTTATGTTTGCATCTCCGTCAGCAAGACCAGTGCCTCTTGTTTGGAAAGAACAACCCGCTAAAACAGGAAAGGCGGGGGCCATCTCTTGCCCGATTTCTTGGCTGTTTGATGTCTCAGACTCCTTGTCCATGTCTGTTTCTCTAATTTCACAATACCGATGTAAGGCCTCGTACTCTCCTCTTTCTTCTTGTGGTGTTCCTGCTCCATGTTCACTCTCACCCTGCTGATTATTCCTGAATAGTAGAACGATATAGTCATCAGGTAAACAAATGCACCGTCGTTATTTTTGGATTTCAGATTCCCCAGTTGATAGGTTTCAATAACACTCAGTTGTATCGTCCTCTATAGTTAAACTGTTTTTGATTTACTTGCTAGTTTTAAATATATATCTGTGATAATCTAGTTGTTTTACTGCCCTTCGTTGGCAGGTGTTTATAATTTAATTTTTAATCATTAGAAATCTATACCTTGTTTTAGTCACGATATGGCTGAAATATTGCCGGTGTGACTTAAAATCTTAAATCACTCACTCATTCAATGACACTCATTTACAATGGCAAACTGTGAGCATGCTTGGATACAATGTTACATTTGTAGACGAGTTTCCATTTAATGTTGAAGTATAGTAAAAAGCGTCAGTCATAAACGTTCAGTGCTGAATAATCTGTTTTAAGCAACTGCTATATTTACTTAGTACACATGCCACATGTACACACTGACCTCGTCGTAGTGAGACCCCTGCGGTAACAGATGCAACATCCTGCTACTGCCACAAACAGTGCTGCTATCAGTGATACTGCGTACAGGTTTATGCCACTCGCCGATTTACCTGAAAGAGATGGATAATGTCAGCTGAAAAAAGTATCAAACAATCTGGTCGTGTTTTATAATGTCATCCCTTTATAATGTTAGGAGTGAATAACGAGGTAGGGTGATTAAGGAATGCATACATGTAGTCTTGAGAGGCAATTGAAAAGATAGTATAAGAAATATACTGAGTCAAAAAAGAAACTTTACATTCTTTCTTCAGGGCACTATAAAAGAACAAGAGATGGTAAGATGGTTAAATTGGTATTATTTCATTTCTGAGATCTGTGTGATGTACTCGATACACTGACAGTGCCATAATCAGTTCCATTAGTCTACACCGCCGTTCCAAAACATGGGTATACAGAATGTCAAGTCACAAGAATAAAAATGCGAAATTTCTCAGTTCAATATCGTGTATGGCAGCCCCGCGCATTCACCACTGCCAAACACCGTCTCCTCATCGACTGCCTGATGCTTGTGAACACGTGGTTGGGGATTCTGCGCCATTGCTCTTGCAAGGCAGCGCCAAGTTCCTGCAAATTCTGAGGTTGGTTCCTAAGACCACGAAGCCTTCTCCCAAGTGCATCCCAAACGTGCTCTATTGGATTAAGGTCAGGGGACCTCGATGGTCAATCCATGACGTTGATTCCAGCGTTTTGAAGGACATTTCGTGTCAACATCGCGTTATGCGGCCAAGCATTATCATGCTGGAACTGTAGACCTTGGCCATGAGCCGCCATGAAAGGAACGAGTTCAGGGGTGAGCACCTGGTCGCGGTAAGCAGCAGCTGTGAGGTTTCCACGGATGACCAGAAGTCGGGAACGGTTGTTCCCACAGAAAGCACCCCACACCATGCAACTTCCGCCCCTGAATCTGTCGACTTCCTGTACACAATATTGGGCATACCATTCACGATGTCGTCTCAAGACTCTATGCCTGCCGTCCGCGAATCTGAGGGTAAACCCTGGATTCATCGCTAAAGACGACTCGATTCCAGTCTCTCTGGGTTCATCGGAGGTGACGCTGGGCCCACAGCAGACGTTGACGTTGATGAAACGACGTCAATATTGGCCCACGATATGGACGTCGAGAATGGAGATTGGCAGCCCGCAACCGATTTCGAATGGTCTGTGAGGACAGTCGACCTCTAAACATCTCAGCCCTGGTTCGTGTAGCTGGCAGAAATCTGTCACATAGGTGACGTAGGACGCTTCGACGGTCTTCTGCTCGTGACGTCACACGTGGACGACCCGACCTTGGGCGATCAGAAGTGGTGCCAGTTTGTTGTAGACGACCTCGCAAGTCATACACAGTACGATGCATCCCATTGCTCTTGCGACGTCAATAACTGATCTTACCGCTTGCAACATGCCAACGGCACGTTCACGTTGCACATTTGACAATCGTGGCATTTCAAGTACCGTTAGAACTGTGGTTTAAAAGTGTTTTTTCAATTCTTGAGGCCAATGCAAACACGTGCATATGAAGAAAACTTCGATGCGAAGATCACATGATCGACTGCACGTGCAAAACCTGATTTGGCACTTACGTCATTTGCACGACGAATAGATGGGTTTGAGTGGGTTTTGCTAACGTTTTTCTAGAGTCGAAAGTAAGGGATCCCATTTCGGATACATAGATGTATCATCAGAGAAAAATTATTCAATATTTTTCAAATTACATTTTGAGTTTCTTTTTTGACTCAGTATATTATCTTCACAATTTTGCCGTGGGGTTCTGTTAAATAGCATAATGAATTTTCAATGATTTAGCATGTATAGTATGACCAGACATTATTGAGAATTTTAGGAATTTGTTCAATTGGATTTCTAGTATAAACAACCTTGACCAGCTTTCAAGTGTTTGGTTTCATTCAAGCGAGACAACTCCGTTAATCCTTTTTCATTAGTTTGTGAAGAGTTATCCCCCTTTGTTTACTTGCTAGCAGACGACATTTTCAGTGATCCTCAGTATGGATGATTTAGAGAAGAGGAAGTTGATTTCAAAGTATTATAACAAGGACAACGGATCAGCTAAAGTGATTTCAAGTAGAACAGGCATCCCTTTGTCCACTGTTTATCATGTTTTGAAAATATTGCAAATGGATATGGCATTGAGCACCAGGGAGGCGCAGGTAGGCCCAGAAAATTGAGTGTCGGTGACAGGAGGCGGCTTGGTATTCACCGATCACAGATCATGAAACCTGAAGAAAAGGATCGAAGGTTGAACTGGTGCTTACAGCATAGAAATTTGAACTGGGACAATGTGATTTTCTCAGATGAAAGTTTTGTGTGGCTGTTTCCTAATACACTGAAATTCTGGACCAAACAAACTGAAAAACCTTTGGTTTCGGACCCAAAATATGACATTATTAGATTGACCAAGCTATAGCCCTGACCTAACTCCAATAGAAAATGTTTGGGGACTTATGAAGGAAAGTGTCAATAAGAAAGTTCTGACAAATATTGCTGAAATGAAAGAAGAGGTGGTCCGATATTGGGACAGCATGGACCACGACTTTCTAAATTCTTTGATTAGTAGTATGCCCCGCCGCATTCAAGCCTGCATTGCTGCCCATGGTGACTTGACAAAATACTAACTGTTCACCTGTTTTTGAATCAGGAGTTATTTTCTGGTAATATTCACATTTAATACGTGAGTAATAAGTGAAAAAAATATAAAAATTTACAATCTTTAAATTCTCAATAGTTTCTGGTTGTACTGTATGTACAAAATATACTGCTAATCGTCAAAGAACGTATATAACTCAATCTATGTAAAAAATACCATGTTATAACTTTCGGTAAACCTAGTTTACATACAAGGAAAACTATATTTTGTAGTTTCATCTTGTCATTGTCGTGCGCGCATAACTGTCATGAGTATAGCAATGTTTTTTAGCAAAATATACGTTGAATTGCTTTGATCTTAAACCTTGAATGTTTCAAGAGCCTTTCGGTCATATGTTTTTGTGATTGTATTGTACACGTAACTCTTAAGAATATTACAATGTTCTTTAGCACTAATCAAAATTAAATTAAATTATTTACGTTTTTGTCGTCGTTAACATCTCACTCATTGATCCTGATGTCTGCTACTCGAGATTTGCAATCTTTTGTGTACCAACCAAAACATTTGTACCAATCCTAATGTCATGACGATCATTGTACCTCAAATTAAGTATTCATTTTTTTATTCTGTCAGATTGTTGAATAATAATTTACTGAAATGGCTCATAATGTCCCATACAGTTTTTGTTTCAGACAAAGAACCGCGATTTTATATTCAGGTTATATTAGTGTTCCATAGATATCCTCAATGTTGTCAGTATATACACTTTTAAGGATTTAAACGTGATTTTTCAAAATGAAATGATTTTAACGCCTATATATTTGAAATCAAACGTCCACCTATTTTGGATTGTCGTTTATCCCAGGAAGCATTACAAACCAAAAATGGTTTCGTTTAAAATGATTTACCTGTGACACAAGATTCGTCGCTGCACTCGGTTGTTGGAATGTCTTCTGAACAAGTACGCATACATCCTTCCTCAGTGATGGTGCATTCCTTGATACATTTGTCAGTAATCTGAGCACACACATCATCAATGCATGTCTTATTGGTGAGATTACAGAATTGTCCATACACCTCACTGTTGCAGTTGTGTAAACAAGACCCGTTGTTTGATTTGCAAGTGTAACTAGCGCAGATGTCAGAACATGGTATGCAGTCCTTTCCAAAATGACCAGCTGTACAACCCTCGTCACAGGCACTTGTGTTGTCACATTGTTTGTTAAAACAGTTGGAGTTACACTGAAATTCACACATTGGGCCATACCATCCAGCCACACATCCATGAATGCACTGACCACTCTCGTTGTGGCATTCTGGTGTACACTCGTTTGTAATGTTTCCATCTTCTTCCACACACTGGCCCTCAGAATAGAACACTGGGTTAGGAAGACAGTTTTCACTGCACATTTCAGCACATTCAGTCCCGTATAATCCAGGAGCACATACTCGTGCACATTCACCGACACATGATCCCGAACAGTAATTACACGAGTACTCACAGTTTTTGCCATGATAATCTGAATGGCACTGGTCACATGTTCCTGTTATTCTATTGCACGATTGACATCTCTTGGAACAATCCTTGCAAGCTGAGCCGTAGTAGGAATCTTGACAGTATTCCCCGTCACATCCACCTGGACATTTGGAGCAGTTTTGTGTTGGAACTGGACAAATTAGTTTGCAGTTTACACCGTGATACCCTGGTTCACAACCTTCTGTGCAATTACCAATGCCAGTATTTTCTAATAATTTGCATTTCTTCTCTTTGCAATTCTTGCTGCATTCAGACTTGCATTTTAGATCGTAATATCCAGTTTCGCATTCTGTGATGCAGTTTCCTGATGCTGGATCACAGTTTGAACAGTGTTGGCTTTTATGACAGTGGTCAGCTGAAATACAGAAGAGCATCAGTAGCCCTTTAGCATATGTAATCATACATGGAATATTCTCATGTAGGAAATAAAACAATTAATCTACATTGAAAACTGAAGGTTTCAAAAATAGTCATTACAAGAGAACAGGAGAACATCAGTATCACTTTTCAATCATACATGGAGTAAGCCAGTACACTGTGTAGAAACAAATCATCAATATTGATAACTGAAGGTATCGAAATTTGTCATCACGGTGGTCAGTGGAAAAACTGGAAGATATCAGTAGCACATTGCCAGCTATGTTGCTTAATCTTTCAATCCTTGTAAGCCCGTGCAGAGTAGTAAAACAATTAATTAATATTGCTAAGTTACATTTTTGGCTTTAAAAATAGGACCCATATATTGTTTCGTGAAACCTGTTGACAAATTACCTTACCTGGTGTTGAAAGAATCAAACAGGCAAACGTTAGGAATACCAAAAATGACATGATTTTTTTCTGAAAAATAATAATACGTACACATAAACGGTGAACAGAGTAATACGAATACATAATCATGAGTCATCTGAAGAAGAAGCCTTCTGCCTGCAGTTTTTACTGGCGATAGAATTACAATGGGCGTAAACAATTGGTTGATTATGCATTAATATAATTTACTGCAAAGTATTATCAGCTTCAATGTGGGCAAAGAATACATGTCCAACTAGCAAATATTTTAGACGTATTGGATCAAATTCTATGAAACTACTGACAAAATATGAAAGTAAACCTCACTTGTGCGGCTTTGCCAGTGTGTTTTACATGTCACGCATGTAACAGCTCTCACACAAATGACAGTGTAAGCGAGTGTGGATAATATTCCCTGAGATACATGGAAATTGAAACTATGATCTCGGCCTCAACGAACGCGTGTTAGCCAAATCATACTGTAATTGATGCGTTTCATCTTCCTTTTTATTATATGTCTTAAATTATCATTCAGTAATACTAGTACTAGTTGTTATCCTAAATGATTAAGATTCGCAGCTGTGATTTGCCGGTCGTGCAGTTTCTGAAAGCACGTTCTTTGATATCAGTGCTACAAATAGCATCAATTGATAATCATTTGCATTGTACATTCAAAGACAATAATGCGGCTTTAAGATATAATAAATTTTCGTGAAGGGTACGTAACCAGATTCTTTAAACGTAATATACTGAGTAAAAAAAGAAACTTTACATTCTTTCTTCAGGCAACTATAAAAGAACAAGAGATGGTAAGATAGTTAAATTGTTATTATTTTATTTCTGAGATCTGTGTGATGTACTCGATACACTGACAGTGCCATAATCAGTTCCATTAGTCTACACCGCCGTTCAAAACATGGGTATACAGAATGTCAAGTCACAAGAATAAAAATGCGAAATTTCTCAGTTCAATATCGTGTATGGCAGCCCCGCGCATTCACCACTGCCAAACACCGTCTCCTCATCGACTGCCCGATGCTTGTGAACACGTGGTTGGGGATTATGCGCCATTGCTCTTGCAAGGCAGCGCCAAGTTCCTGCAAATTCTGAGGTTGGTTCCTAAGACCACGAAGCCTTCTCCCAAGTGCATCCCAAACGTGCTCTATTGGATTAAGGTCAGGGGACCTCGATGGCCAATCCATGACGTTGATTCCAGCGTTTTGAAGGACATTTCGTGTCAACATCGCGGTATGCGGCCGAGCATTATCATGCTGGAACTGTAGACCTGGGCCATGAGCCGCCATGAAAGGAACGAGTTCAGGGGTGAGCACCTGGTTGCGGTAAGCAGCAGCTGTGAGGTTTCCACGGATGACCAGAAGTCGGGAACGGTTGTTCCCACAGAAAGCACCCCACACCATGCAACTTCCGCCCCCGAATCTGTCGACTTCCTGTACACAACATTGGGCATACCATTCACGATGTCGTCTCCAGACTCTATGCCTGCCGTCCGTAAATCTGAGGGTAACCCTGGATTCATCGCTAAAGACGACTCGATTCCAGTCTCTCTGGGTTCATCGGAGGTGACGTTGGGCCCACAGCAGACGTTGACGTTGATGAAACGACGTCAATATTGGCCCACGATATGGACGTCGAGAATGGAGATTGGCAGTCCGCAACCGATTTCGAATGGTCTGTGAGGACAGTCGACCTCTAAACATCTCAGCCCTGGTTCGTGTAGCTGGCAGAAATCTGTCACTTAGGTGACGTAGGACGATTCGACGGTCTTCTGCTCGTGACGTCACACGTGGACGACCCGACCTTGGGCGATCAGAAGTGGTGCCAGTTTGTTGTAGACGACCTCGCAAGTCATACACAGTACGACGGCTGCATCCCATTGCTCTTGCGACGTCAATAACTGATCTTACCGCTTGCAACATGCCAACGGCACGTTCACGTTGCACATTTGACAATCGTTTTTTCAATTCTTGAGGCCAATGCAAACACGTGCATATGAAGAAAACTTCGATGCGAAGATCACATGATCGACTGCACGTGCAAAACCTGATTTGGCACTTACGTCATTTGCACGACGAATGGATGGGTTTGATTGGGTTTTGCTAACGTTTTTCTAGAGTCGAAAGATAGGGATCCCATTTCGGATACATAGATGTATCATCAGAGAAAAATTATTCATTATTTTTTAAATTACATTCTGTGAAGTTTCTTTTTTGACTCAGTAATATTTTCGTGATTTTTATTTATGGCTAAATTCGACTACAATCGCCAGCGGCTGAAGTGATGATATAAATCCAGCTAGGGGCCATGCAGAAAGCAAATGTACTAGTATGGTGATCTACCTTTAGATGTTGGCGATAAATAGCCCATTGTTTGCATTGTATTGTCCAAAAAAGGTTTTTTACTTTTGAAGATGTATGTTAGTTTTAACTCATTTTGTGATAATCTAGTAATTGTACTGTCCTTCGTTGACAGGGTTTTATATATCTGTATATATTCATAACTAGTTTTAGTCACGCTATGGCTGAAATATTGCCGATGTGACTTCAAACCATTTAAGAGTGTATCGAAGGACTGTATAAAAACTAGATTATCATATATTAGACCAAAATATGTGAGTGTCTGTAAATGAATGCACTTAGTCAATTAACAGCACAATATAAAAAGGGGTCAGAGTTCGTTAGCAACCATAGTTGGGCCACCATACCAGGGACGGTGAGGACTTACAATCCTTCTTCGTCCTGCACGGTTCCCCAGTGGGAGTTATACCTAGTCGTTTCTACTGCGGATTCATTGACTTTAAAAAAGCATTTGACTTTGTGGACAGGGATAAGTTATTATATGTATTAATGCAACGTGGATGTCATGGAAAGTTACTTATCTTGCTTAAAAGTATGTACGCATCAGTAAAGGCCCGTGTTAAAGTTGGTAATTGAAGAACAGTAGCGTATGATACCTCCCGTGGAAAAAGACAAGGATGTATCCTAAGTCCCGTACTTTTTATACTTTTTATTAATGACTTTGCCACTGAACTGTATATGTCTTGTAACAGTGGAGTGTTCGTTACCCAGGATATACAAGATCTGCTGCTACTAATGTTTGCCGATGATATCGTTCTTTTTGCCACTAGTGTTATTGGTCTTCAACGACAACTACGGCTCCTGTAGTCATTCTGTTTAAACTGGGGACTGGAATTGAATTTAAGAAAGTCAAATATCATCGTATTTCGAAATGGTGGAATTCTTGTGGAATCGGAGAAATGGTTCTTCGGTCATCAGCCTATGGAGGTTGTAACTTACTATAAATACCTTGGTATCGTGTTTTCATCAAGATTCATATGGACAAAGGCGTGTAAAACTCTTGCACAACAAGCAAACAAAGCGTGTCTTTCAGTGTTTAGAATCTTTAAGAAAAACCAGAAAATTACATGCTCTATGGCACGGATTATTTTTAATAGGAAGATAGCACCAATACTACTCTACGGAGCTGAAATTTGGGGACACAAATATTCAGATTCAATTGAAAGGATTCAAATGACGTATTTTAAAAGATTTCTCAAAATTGGAAAATTTGCTTCTAACAAGGCTATCCTCGGTTAACTTAGACGTTATCCAATGTATGTTTTCATCCAGATCAAAGTAATTAAGTGTTTGTTTAAACTGTTACACATAAATCAACAACGTTATACCATACAGTGTTATAAGATGTTTAAAACTTTTGACGATATGGGCAAAATTAAGTGTGAGATCTATTTTATTCAAAAACGGATTTTCACATGTATGGTTAAACCAAGGTGTCGGCGATGTGCAGCTATTCATTTTAACCTTCGAACAACGCATCAAAGATATAAACTACCAGACTTGGCATAATGATATTTGCAGCTCAACTATTCTCATCCACTATTCACAATTTAAATATGACCTTCACTTGGAACAGTACATCACTAAATTGAAAAACAAATACTTAATACGTGCGTACTGCAAATTTCAAATTTCCCATAACAATCTGAAGATAAACAAATTTAGATGTAAAAAAGATATCCCCATAACAGGATAATTGTGCACTATATGTGATGCATTGGAAGTTGACGACGAGAATCATGTCTTTTTTTAATGTAAATATTACGAATGTTGGCGAGAAAAGTATTTGGTACAACTTCGAAAAGTGTATAAGGGTCCAATCACTTTAGAATCTATTTTCAAATCAAGAAAGAGTTGGGTAATATATTTCACTGCTTTATTTCTGCATAATGTATTCCAAACAAGAGCTGGATCCATTTGACCACTGTACGTCGATTTATACAACTGTATAACTGTATTATAGGCCACTAGGCCGATATTACGCAAATAAACTGTCTGTCTGTCTGATTGTACGGACATGTAGCCACTTTACAACTGTGCTATGATTAACAACGGGGTTAAATATACATATTGTGTAATGGCTTGGGCTCACATATCCTCATCCCCAACTAAGAAAACAACTATCAATCTTACTTCATTATCGTATTATCAATTATACAAAATAAAATACCCTGTACTTCAAAATGTATCAGTTAATTCAATCCCCTTTGAAAAGCAATATTAAATGAAAGCGGTATTATGAGAATATGAGAATAGTATCATTAACATGATCCAACATAGATGAAAATTTGAAATAATTACTTCTTTACATCTGGACTGAAAACACATGTAGTGTTACAAATAGTTGGTTTAATTACTTGAGTAATTACCTGTGTCTTTTTGATACCTACATGTGCCTGTTTCTTTCGATTAGATATCTGATGTTACAGCAAATTACCGGTGTAATGTGCCGCAGACTTGGTGAGTGCTGCCATAGCAGCAGAATCGGCCATTCTTTTACCATTGTAATTACTATAATGCCAAATTTAGGATTTCGGAAGAATTTTATCAATATGTTGTTACCGTACGATATTCAATGTTTATATTAGTGGAAATCAAATTTAGAACGCTCTGGACTCATTCCTCTGTGGATGATATAATCGTAGTGATCATTGTCGATTTGTCCACGGTGAGCACGTCATGAAGGACAAAACGTCGATCCACACACAACGACGAGTGGCCAGTGAACGCTCGTTGCACAATAAGGATTGGGCTTTGCAGTGTTCAAGTGATGACACCCCACATATGACAGACCCACCGCCAAATCTGTCATCGGGTTTTTGTTTATCATTAGCTTGATATTCATTTCAACGTCGCCAGACACGACATCCCCATCATAAATATGCAAAATAAATCGTGACTCGTGACTCTGCAAAATTCTCACAGGACCAGCATTTCGATTTTGTGTTCGATGTCAAGGAATCACGTTACGAATATGTAGTCCTTGTCGTTTGCTTGTGGC